CTGTCATGAAGATTATAGGGTATCTGGAAAATAATAATTGGTAAGTGGAAATAAAGCATCTGATTTAAACTCTGGTCTGCTCTTCCTACCCCAAATAAAATCCTATCCTCTCAAGAAGTAAAGGAACAAAAAGGTGAAAGTGACGGTAATATTACCTGAATACCTCCTGGGATACTGTGGATCGAGTGGGGGAGTTCATAAAAAATTCTAGCATTTCATTCACTTTCAGCTGCTGTGTCTGACATATGGGAGGCTGTAATTTCACAAGGAAGTGAAACCTTACCTCCTACCAGGTGCCAATATATTTTAAGCAAAGAGATATTACAACTCTGGAATTATTGAAAGCCTATGTTCAAGGAAGACGTAAAAAGTCACGTTTTTGAAATTAGCGTATGACGTCATTGGGACTGGGTGTAATGGAGGTGACACAGTGGATGTGGGAGACAGAGCAACACTTGGGCTGGGCAAGTCTGGAGGGCAGACCTATTTTTAGGTTTTTATGATGCAGGGCTATTCTGATGCTCTAAAGAAACCGAAAAACTGTTGTCTCTCAAAGTAAATTGATACTTCATTGCCCTGGATTCTAGAAACTTTTTTTTTTAAAAACTTGCTTTCTTTCTTTTTCTCAGCTGTCAATCTCTCCAAAGGTTAAAAATCAGAAGGTAAATTGCGTGTGTCCTCGCTATGCAGCCGATTTCAACTCATTTTAAGTGTCTAATTGACTTTTAAATAGTCTTCAGTTCATCTTGGAACTGTTTCCACGTAGCAAGAAAATATGAGGATGCGTATGATCTACTGACATAATAGCATCCTGGAAAAGTATGTGGAGAATGTGTGTGTGTGTGCTTGCATGATGTGTGCATGTGTGAGTGTATGTGCATGTGTGGGAGTGTGTGGGAGTATGTGGGTGTACATGTGAGTGTGTTTGAGTGCCTGTGAGTGTGTAGGGTTGTGTATGAGTGCATGTGAGCGTGTGGGAGTGTGTGTGCGTGCATGTGGGTGGGTGTGAGCATATGTGTGCTTGCGTGTGTGTGTGTGCGTGCGCATGTATGTGTTTACCTCCCCCAAGGAACGTCAGTGCCCAGTATTTACTCGGTTCCTATTTTTGTCCTTTGTCATCACTGCTGTAATGGAGCCTGCTGTCATCTGGTAGGAATATTTACCCGCCCGATGGATCTGACTTGGCCTGGTAATAGTGAGTGCACATCTGGAGTCTAGACTTGGCGGCTCTGTGGGCAGGCTCAGATCCCAAGGCTCCCTGGGCCCCAGGGCTCCACCGGCCGGCGCCCTGCTCTGTTGACATAGGTGGTGGGCCGCCTCATCTGTTTCGGCAGCCTCGCCTCCCTGGCTCACCCCCAGCCTCCGCGGCCTCGCCGTGTCCCAGCTCTGCTGTGCACTTTGGAGGGCAGCCACTGGAGGACCCCTCCCTGGCCCCCTTCCGTGACCCCCCTCATGCTCAGGGTGCTCTGCCAGAGGGGGTGGGAAGGAGGGAAATTCTGATGATTTGTGGTTCAGCCTGTTGGAGGTAGTGGGCTGTGTTGAGCTGGAAGAAGAGCTGTGAGAAGTGTATGAAAGAGAGGAGAGAGAGGAACTCGCGTGATGAAAGGGGTGCAGATGCTGTTACACAAGCTTCGGGTTCAGATCTGTGCTCAGCCATCATAGCAGATGTGTGAGCTTTAAGGTCTCTGAGATTCAAATTCGTGATCTGTAAATTTGGGGGAAGAGTGACCACCTTATACAGTTGTTGGGAGGGCTACATAGATTAATCCTTAAAGTGGGAAATAAAAACCAGTCCCCTTCTCTAGCAGGTTTATCACATTCACAGATGAGAAAGTGATTTTTGACCCAAGGCAAGAAAAACAGCAACAATTGCTGAAAATATAGGTGGCTGTTTGTCAGGGGCGTAGGCCTGAGCAGGGGTGCTGAGATCGTCATGGGCGATGAAAAGTTTTTGAAGCGGGTCCAACAGCAATACCTACTTTTAGATACAAGGTAACCAAGAAAAAGGCAACCGCATTCTTGTGGCTGCAACATTTCCCATGTGGGATTTTTTTCCTCTTGTTTCTTTTTATAAAATGAAAGTGTTGTGAGGCTCTGATAATGGACTGGTGACTTCCAGAACTGGGCTGGAGTCCCTCCGGAGCTGAGGCACCCGCCATGGCATGTTGGGTATTTGAGAGACTCTAAATGCATGGGCATTGCTCTATTTTTTTTTTTTTTTTTTTTTAGTGCAATGGGTTATTTTTTGGTGTATCACCTGCGCCAGGATACTATGATAAACCGCAACAAAGACTTTATCCATATGGGTGTACTAATTAATCATATTTATAATAAAGTGACATCTAAATAAATTTCCCATAAAGAATAATTATTTGGATGTCTACCCAGCAAACAAAAGCAAGTCTTTGAGAAATTATAGGTTTCTTTCGGAAAATTTACTCTATTATATTGAGGTCGGCAAACCATGGCCTCCAGCCCACAAGACAGTAACCGTCTATCTCCTGCCAAGCCTAAAATATTTACTCCCTGGCTTTTTACAGAAAACATGTATTGATGCCTACAATTACATAAATGAATGGAATTAAGAAGTATGGTTTTCTCTCTTAAAATTAGGCATACCTATCTGTCAGTATAATCTTACCATGATACTACCTGCCTTAAAATCCATCTGATGCTCTCACTGACTACTGTTTTAACTGGCTTGGGCTGCTATAGTAAAATACCACGGACTGGGAGGCTTAATCAGCAGACAGTTATCTCTCACAGATCTGGAGGCTGGAAGTCCAAGATCAAGGTGTCAGCAGATTTGGTTCTTGGTGAGAGCCCTCCTCCTGGCTTGTAGACAGTTGCCTCCTTGCTGTGTCCTCACGTGACAGAGAGAGAGAAACTCTAGTTTCTTTCTCTCATCTTAATAAGGGCACTAATCCCATCATGAGAGCTCTATCCTCATGACTTTATTTAAACCTAATTACCTTCCAAGGGCCCCATCCCCAAATACCATCACATCAATATGTGAATTTCGGGGGTATACAACATTCAGTCCACAGTACCTCCACAAGAAATTGCTTACCATGGTGTGGCAAGCCCTCCCTTCCTTGATTTTAGCATCACATTCTGACTTCATTCCATGACACTCAATTCTGTCGGCCCTATAGGCCAAACGATCAAGTTCCTACAAGACTGCATGGGAACAGAAATGAGGAGGCAGATCATTTTGCCTGAGGTCCTCAGAGACATGTGGGGGGTGGTGTATCTGCTCTGGGCTTAGAAGGCTAGTGAGAAGAGGGAGGGCCACGTGCTGTAGTCAGGGAAAGCAGCACAAACCACAACCCGGTGGAAGGCGTGAAGCTCTGTGGCTTGCTGTAGGAATCGCAGGCATCCGCGGGACAGGACACTCGGTGTGTGAGGCCAGTCTGGAGTCATGGGTCTGTTCTGTTGTTTACAGCTGTCTTTGGGAAAGTGTTTAGGTTCACATAGGTCAAGATTCTCACCTATGAAATGGGACTGCTGACAACACCTATTTTCTAAGGCTACCAGGATGATGAAGTGAGGGGAGTGGTGGCTCAGTGCAGTGAGGGCTCAGCCAGCAGCCACCGCTGCCCTTGCCATGACCTTGCTGTCCCTACGACCCCATACCGTTCCTCGCACACCTGACCCAGCCCTGCCCAAACTTATCACCCTCTGTGCACTCTGCCTGGTGGCCAGGACTCAACTCACTCACGGTCTTCTTGCTCTTCAGAATCATGATTACAACACTGTGTAGTGATCATGGTTTCTCCTAAAAGAATCATACAACCTGAGCCATCTAAAACCACAACCAGCAAGTTGTCTATTGCCATTTCGGTATGAATGTTAGACTTGTGGGCTTCAAGAGAGAGTTGGAGCTTGTCACAGAGACCATCAATCAAAGATTTATGTTTGGTTGGGGTTTGGTTTATGTACCCATCATTTTCCAGTTTGGTAACTAGTAGCAGGAATCTAGCAGGTTGACCAAACCTAGCGTTTAAGTTTTAACAACATGAAAATGTATGAAAATACAGTCACTCAAGGGGCTAACATCCCTTAGTATGTTTTAACGTCAGTGGTCCATACAGTTAGGTGTACAAATAGATTTTAAAAGTCAAATGCATTCAATATAGGTCCATCAATATTTAGGACTCTTCTTTAGACTGATAGATACAGGATATTTTAACTCTGGGTTATTTTTTAACAGTTACAGTGAAAATTCCTAGTACCCAAGCTAAGTATTTGTTTTTATTTGTTTCTTTTGCCTGTAAGTGAAAAAATGAGCCTTGAAGGAAAGAGGTAAACCTTAAGTCTTTTTTCTTAGTCACCAGAATAGCAACAGCTGACATCGTTCAATAATTGTGTTTGTGTGTGCACATGTGTGAGTGTGTTACATGCATGACTGTGTGCATGTGCATACATGGCTGTGTGCATGGATGCGTATGTGTGAGTGCATGCACGTGGGTGCATGCAAGAGGATGTGTGCCTGCATGCATGTGTGTGCACGAGTATGCATGTGTGCATGCATGAGTATGTGTGTGCATGCGTGAGTGTGTGTACGCATGGGTGTGTGTGTGTGTGCGTGCGTGCACATGGCAGTGGGTCTAAGCGTGACATATGTTGATGCTTGCAGATGAGGAAACACTTAAATACTAGGCCGTGTTGACTCCATGGAAGGTTTGCTGACTCAAGGGCTGGAAAGAAAGTGGAAATCTTGTCCCCATTGATTATGACAAGGCCCAGCATCCCTGATTGCACTCTTGCCTTTGGATGGAGGTCCTGCCGGGTTAGCAGCAGGATCTGATTTTGAGTCATGAGTTGCTCTCCGCAGTCGCCGAGTTCCTTCCGAGCCTGATGGACAGGAGCCAGAAGGCTGCGGAGCTGCTGGCGCACACTACGCTTATCTGTGACAGGCCTGTTTGGCACATGAAGTGGGAATATCTTCATTGTCACCAGCAGCAGCAGCAGCTTCTGCTTTCCTGCGGCACGCCCGTCCCTGCAGTAGGATTTCTTTTGTGGAGCCCCAAACCAAACCTCCTTTCAGGGGCTCGTCCCAGAGAAGGTCAGTCCTGGGAGCGCAGAGAAGAGTCCAGGTACCGTTATTTTAAAGATGCAGGATTGGAGGCTCGGAGAAGGGCTTTGCTCCACAAGAGGCCACACCGCTGTTGGCAGAGCCAGAAATAGAAACAGCACCTCCAGATTTATGTCTAGAGCTCTTTCTACCATAACGTGCTTCCTAATCTTCTGAAGAGACTGGTAAGAAGGTCTCCTATTTTAGCTTCATTTTTAGTTTTGGGGCCATTACCCATGGTACCCGACATGTAATACACCTTCAAAACTAATTGTTTGAATGAAGTACCGAATGAATGGATGGAGTTATATTCCAGTGGTCTAGAGAAAATGTCAAGGGGCTGGGAACTGTCCATGTTGTCCCCTGTCAGAAGAAGCCATTTAGATATTGCATTGAGCCCAGTGCTCTCACATGGGTCTCCAGTAATTCTGGCTACTGTTATCATCATTGTCGAGACTGGGCATGTACTGTTTTTTTCTGTTGCAATGCTTTCTTGCTTCTAGCTAGCTTTACTGTTGCTATTAGAATAAGATTCTACATGAATTTGGTAGGATGATGAAATGGAAAGCAGGCCCTACATTTGTTCCCAATGGAAGCTTCCATGGAAGGGGCAGCATGCCTTCTCAGATAGCCTTATGGAGCCCTTCCCAGATTCTTCTACATTGTCACCGATGTGGGCATGATGACATCTGCTGCCCCAAGCCCAGTGCACACCAAAGCCCTGGTGGTGGCCTTGACTTCTCTTTATTGCTGCTGTCATGGGTGAAGGGCTGCCAATCCAGAGCATCTGACTGTGTTTCAGTGCATTTCAATTAGTGAAATCCAACTATCTGTGAGTTGATTTATAACATCCTTACAGTTTTCCAAAGCCTAGATCTGTGTGAGAATAAGATAAATAAGAACAAAACTGAATTTGTGACTTACTCTATAGTTAAACAAAATGCTTGCACACAAATAATCTCATTTACTCGCAGTTCTTGTGGGCTATATTAATCCCATTTTACACCTTAGAAACAGGGCTTCAGACGGACTGTGATGAGCACAGAGTAGACCCGATGATGCCTTTCGTCAGTGTGTCAGGTTTGGGGCTTTGCTCTGCTGTGCTGCCACAGTGAGCATGGGTCCTGTGTGCTGGCCCATTGCAGGCCAGGCATGAGCTGATGGTACCAGGTGATCCTCAGCATCTTCATCCCTGGGCATCCACCATAGAGGGCACCCCAGCACCTGCTGTCATGCACAGTGTATCACGCACTCAGATCTCAGCAGGGTGGGGGTGCGGAATGGAAGCTCCAGGACAGTCAGAGGAAGGGAAGTGTATTAGTGCAATATATTTAGTTTAATTACTTAGTGGATAGAAACGTGGGTTCTCATTCTACCTCGGTCAGTTTACTGGTTGTGTGCAATTTGCTTCCGTGTCTGGGGGAGTTTTCTGCTCTACACAACATGGGGATTGTGTATGATCATTCAGCCAACTTAGCTCTAAAAGTTCATCTTTCTATTAATTCAAGTAATCAGTGGGACCTTTTAAGGTTCTTGCAATCTCAGATTCCGTCTTGTATCACCTCTGAGAAGCCACGCTGTAAGGACGAACATTTTTAGGAAAGCTCGGTGCAGAGGCCAGATGCACGTGGTCACGGGCACGGACTGTGCGGGTTCAGCGGTGGGACCTCCGGCCTGTGCTCTCACCTGTCCGTGCCTGCTTCCTAGTCCCTGAATTGGGGTTCACAATCCCAGGGAGTTGTTAAAAGAATGAAATGAATTGATAAATGCAAATGCTTGTAATTCTAGCACCCAAGTGCTAGCTACATTTTAATGATATGTATTATCCCTCTTGTCTTCTTATCCTGTAGGTGGGAGATTCCTCAGCCCAGGGGCTCAGTTGTGATTGGAGTAACACAGTCCTCTCTCCCTCTCTCTTTTTCAGTGATTCCCCTTGTGTATCCTGATTTTGGCCGATGGAATGCAAGAAGCACTCTGTCTGGTGACTTTGGGGAAAGGCTCTGCCACCTGACACCAGGGTGAGGTGACAAGGGGCAGGTTCTGTGGCTCTGGCATCCTCCATCCCTCCCAGATGCTGCCCCGTGAGGATGTAACATGAGAAGCCACTGCAGCTGTGACCTTAAAAGGAGACGTTCTGGGCCCCACCAGGACTAAAGAGCAGGAAGGAGGAAGGACCTGGGTTCCAGGCAAGTTTGGTGAGCCCAGAACCAACCCTGCTACTAGCTCTATCCAGTCTGTTTTCCCATGGAATAATCAAGTGTCTTTGTTGGTCAGTTAGTTATTTTGTTGTATGCTCTCCAAAGCACTTAAAATACTATTTCTTTTTATTTCTTTTTTATTTGAAAGGGAGAGCACAAGCAGGGTGGGGGTAGGGGGAGGGTCAGAAGGAGAGGGAGAAGCAGGCTCCCCGCTGAGCAGGGAGCCGGACATGGGGCTCGATCCCAGGACCCTGAGATCATGACCTGAGCCAAAGGCAGAGGCTTCACTGACTGAGCCACCCACACGCCCCATAGTACTGTTTCTACATGCAGTAAACTTGTCCTTTAGTCAAGTCAGACATAGCAAAGAGGAGAGAGGTCCTGGGTGCTCAGTGGTGCTGGTGTAGTTGCTCCAAAAAAGCATTGGCATTAGTTCTGTACTTCCTTGCAGCCAGCTTGGAAAAAGAAAGCAAAACACCTAATTTCACATGGTACACAACACCA